TTCCCCCCCCCCTTCTCTCTCTCTCTCTCTCACTCACACACACACACACACACCTTGCATGCTTTCAACTCCAGAGCACTGGAACGTTTGATTCTCATATATGACGGGCCGTCACGCGCTAACACAAGGTTGCGCCCAAGTATCGCCCGGACGCGAGATAGGGCAATTGAAACATCTTGGTAGGCGTACATTTTAGTCATAAATCCGTTGTTGCGTAGTTGAGAATTCGTTGTTTTCCCTTACACTGGAGAGCTCTGAGCCAGTCAAGGATCACTGCTTCGTCTCCCTTCATCTCATGGGATGGAACGCTTGAAGCAGGCCAAAATATAAAAATACCTCACTGTCGTCACTGACTCCTTGAGTGCTGTGAACGTAACCTCAACAGCACCTGCAAACTGCATTCAGGGCGCTGTGAACGTAGCTTGCCAACTACGTTCAGGGCGCCGTGAACATAGCCACTGCGAAAAATAAAAATTATAAACAAACTGTCTTCGAACTGAAACTGTGGTGAATGGGCAAGGACAAATCTGATTGTTTACACCACTACTTCTAAAAAAAGAAGTATCACATTAAGTTACAATTTAAATCCATACAAAAGTTAAAGTTAAAAAGTGAAAAGTCATTATAGATCTAGATCTAGATCTAGATCTAGATTCTAATTTTAATTTAGTAAGTGGGCCTACACATGCAGGTAGGCTAGGTCAGGTGCACTAGAGTACTAGAGTCTAGGCCTACACGTCACAAGATCATTCTCATACTCCTGATCTCCATTTGAAAAATTAACGAATTAATTCTGAATACTTAGGGCTACAGCTTACGCAAACCTGTATTTTCATCAGCAATATTGCTGTCTGAAATTTCCAAAATAGACAATGATAAAATGAGGGTCAAAACACGAGAATCAGAAAGTAGAGTCGCCAAGGCCAAGGTTTCTCTCTGCCGTTTGACCTTTAGGCTTCTGCTTGCAATTTATGTGCTCTATGGCAGGGACCAGAATGTACTCAGTACAAGCAATTAAAATCCATTTTAAAGCTCAGAGTAAAGTCACAACAAACCTCCTACCTTTCACATATCACACAACACAGACAGTCCTGAGAGTATCTAAAAATGATTCCTTGGTGCACGACCGTCTACTTTGAGCGGGGACAGCTGTGAGATCCCCATGGGGGCTGCCATCTTATGTCACATTAAGGGGGGGTAAGGCTCGATTACAAATCAACAAAAAAGAGTATGGAGTGGTGTCCCTTAAAAAATCAATCCAGGCTGTGGAACTAGAAGTTTATAATAAATTAATATTATGGTAATTGTGAAAAGAACAAGATTCTATACCTACACAATTTTATGCCAATGATTGTTGCTATCTAATATATTTGTTATATCTTTTAATGTTTCTTGTCGTTTCAAAAGCTGACAAAAATGAAATGGCAGACCAAAGAGAAACAGAAAAATCCATGAAAGTATTGGAAGGCGAAAACAAAATAATACTACAATTAATGTAGAATATTATATCGCTTTCTAGTGTTTTCAACAAGAGGCCTAACTACAGTTTAAAAAAGGCTCTAACGAGGATCAATTGGCATCATTGAATACATTATCAATAATATTGTTTATGTTATTTCGATGGGAAGGGGTGTGTTACTTGTACTTGGTGAGTTTCCAAGGAGAACACAAATTTCTTATGTCAAGAAAGAAAAGAACGTACCGCTACCGGTATTTGATTTTTTTTCTTTAGTCTTTTTTTTTTTTT